ACATGTCATAGGAGAGGATCAAAAAACAAGTATGAACCTGGAAATTAGCATAAAAGGTCCCTTTTTTAATTGGGTATAATTTAAATGTACAGTTCCAACAAATAGACTGGACTCAATAATTGCGGATGACCTTTAATATTTGCTGTCCATGAGCCCATGCACCGCATACTATTTGTTCATGTGTACGCTACCTTGGTGCTCCTAGTTGCATCAAAACATTTCTTAATGGGTTCAATTTGAAGCCGTTGTAATGTACTTTGGATTGAAAGGTTACCCAGGAACACGTTCCACTAAAGCCATTCATCATATCGTTTGGGACTTCTCGTTGCCGCAAGCAGACCATTAATAGTTGTATAAGGAATCCCTAACTGACACTGTTCAAATTCCAGGCATTTATCTATGCATGTACATTCGTGCTTTAAAGCTGCTCAACTCCCTAGATCTGCCTCTTGACACGCCCTGTTCTTTTCCTGTTATTCGTCTTCCAGCTCCGATAAGCGGGTTTATTTTGTCTCCACTCCAAAAATGACCTATATCAAGTCAAGTGTATTATCTCAATCTCACTTTATCTCCTTCTTTCTCACTTGTTCTCCTTCTCTCCCCTCTTTCCTCAGCTCAAAGTATGCTATGTACTCTTTTCTGCCCCAGACCACTTTACAAACTGTATTTTCATGCCCCGACCTTGTAAATATGGGATATAAATATAAGCTTAACTTCCAGGGTGGGAGCAAAGGCAAACAAGTACATACAAGGACACAGTAGGAGGGCAGCTATATGGCTTGCATAGAGGGAGAGAGTTTTATTACGCAGATTTATCACGCTACTAGTGTTTGTTTTCTTTTTCACGTGGGAAAGAGGAAGGTAGTTAGCTTTCCTAACTTCAACTTTACGAGCAGAATAACATTTTACAGCACGTCTGGTACTCCTTAATGTTAATACTGAAAATAAAAACAATATCAACCCTGTGTGAGCTTTTTAACAAGTCTCACATCAAAACTTATTGTGCTATCATGTGCTATACAATTGGTTGACTCAAATGGACAGAAAGATATGCGGATTATTTTGTTCATCCTCAGTCATTATTTAGGCAATGCTGTTTTCACCCTCTGAAATATGCAAATATTGTGATTTTACATCACATCAAAGCTTATAGTTGGGTACTGGATATATGTGTGTATTATTGGACTGACATACCAATGGCATCAAATTGCTCTTTGAGAAAATGCAATTTACAGTTTTCCCTATTTTCACACAATATTTAGCCCTAATGAAGAATGGATGCATCTAGAAAATAGTAAGTAGATTAATTGATAATGGAAAAAATAAGTTTGTTACAGCCCTGAAGCACAGAAGTTTAGCATGACCCTCCGAGGTCAGTATACTGGACCCATGGGAAACACCCAACCAGAGGCTTGAAGCTTACATGCTATATCAACAAATATATCCCAAAACGTTTTTTCCTCTTAAAAAATAACAAATGTGGAACAGATTTGTTGCAGTTTATTCAGACAAAGGGCAGATACATTTTTACTAGACCTTATATAAAACAACCTATGAGGTTTTTCTCGCTAATGTTAATGAGTGTAATGAACGCATTCAGTTGCTTATCCAACAATGGGCCTCTCTCTCGTCCGTCCTCTCTGTCCCAGTGTGATAAACAGCTAATTGTTTGTGCTACAAACAACAACAGTGAGTTAGCTAGTGCCACTTGTGCAACAGTGGATCTGATAGAGAGCAGGCCTCTGCTGGAGCGCACTCCATTAGTGGAAAGCCTCTGGGGATTATGTCATTACTGTCCTATTTCCCATCACACCACAGATAGTCCTGCTGGGGTCAGCCTGACCTTTTTCTCATTACAATGAACGGGGGATCACGGGTGTGTTTGAGTGTAGAATATGTGTGCATGTGCTTGAAACAGTGTTGGTCTTTTAGGTAATAGGAGTCAATGAGGATTTTTTTCAATAAAAACACATGAGGTTCTTGTATAGATGGTTGATTAATGGAAATCAGCTGATGTTAATGTTACAACAGACACACCATGTTTTCCAATATAATGCAGGTCTCATGACTGAAAAGGTGTCCTCCCTCCACATCTTTCCCCTCACATCACACCCTAAAACGTCAGGCACATCCTTGGTGTCCCTACGTGAGGCACAGCTGCGTCTCTTATCTTGACCTTTCAATGAGTCGTAAATAAATACGTTCCGGCATTTATAGGTCTATTAACACTTTGAAGGTTGCAGCACTTCATAAAGCTCACACCGGAGCGTTCTTTAAATCAGCTCATTTTCTACTTTACTCAACATATTAAAGACTGTAAAAGAGGGTCTTTAGACAGTTCATAAAGTCAATGCTGCTATGAACTGAGTATACATTTGACTTTTTTTAAATTTGAATCCAAAGGACCACGGCATGGGAATCAGTGTCAAACAACAAAGGCTGCAGATCTCGGCCTCCGTTACGGGTTGTGGAGCTTCATTGTAGCTGACTGTCTTCAGGGAGGACAGTCATACTGTGGTTGGTGACGGTGTGCACATGTTCAGCAGGATTGAGGCTGTGAATCATGTGTCTGATGTAATAAATGCCCACACCGGGTTATATTTTTGGACGTTCTGCCTCTGCCTCCTTACTTGATCGGGCCGCTCAACGGTCAGTCTCACATTTGGTGTCAGAAGTGGGATTTACCAAGTGAGGAGGTGAAAACGATGGAGGAACTGAGGGAGATGATGAGATCACTCATGCAGTCTCAGACAGCCAGAGAGCAGCGGTTCGCACGGATACAGGAACAGGAATCCATGATGGAAGAGGAACGGAGACTCCGGAGGCAAGGCGGCAGATTGGCTAAAGGCTCGACGGGCACTAACTCTGCTGCTGAGGCATCAAAGATCCTGGCGGAGAACCGGAGAGTGATGCAAGAGCAGAAAGAGGAGCAGCTCCGGTTACAGAGGGAGGAGAGAGGGAAGAGGAGATGTGCTTAGCGGAGGAGGCTCGTCTGATACGCCTGGAGGAGAAGAAGAACCTTGCAGAGGAGAAGAAAATCAAAGACGAGGAAGATGCTTTTCTAGCCGAGGAGGAGCGGGTGAAAATGGCCGAGAAGATCCGTCAGGAGAGAGAGCGCGTCATGCAGCAGAACCAGCAGGAGCGCCTGAAGAGGAAGAATCAGATCCCGAAGAGGAAGAAAGGGAAGCTTCTTTCTGACTTCACGCCCCCCCATGAGGAAACCATGCTGCACAAGGGGAAGCAGAAACCTTGCAGGGAAGCCAAGATTTTTAAGACACTGTGCTTCTGGGGGAGAGGGGAAAGGAAATGTCACGGAGGTGATCTCTGGGCCCATAGATCTCGGCCTCCGTTACGGGTTGTGTAGCTTCATTGTTGTTGATTGTGTTCACCTGGTGCCCTGTGTTGTCTCCTCCCCCCTCACCTGTGTCTTGTTGATTGATTAGTGTGTATTTAGGCTCTGTTTTCCCTGTCAGTGGACAGGTAGTGTGTGTGAGATCCTTGTGGCTGGTGACTGTGTTCACGTGAACAGCGAGATTGAGGCTGTGTCATGTGCCCGTGAGTAATAAATGCCCACACCGGGTTATATTTTTGGACGTTCTGCCTCTGCCTCCTTGCTTGGTCGGGCCGCTCAACAGTCAGCTTCACACTGCAATTTACAGTACTTTTGAAAATCAATTAATCTCTTTAATAAAATGGTAAAGACAAAAAAAAGAGCCTAACTTAAAATCTTAAATGTGCTTGTGTCGTTCAGTTCAGAACCCAGAGATCATCAATAAAAAAAACCTTACTCCAATTTAAATAAAGCAAATATTCTGTATTTGTTCTTACTTATATAACAAATCATTTTAACTATTTTTGATAATTTTACTGTCAAGCAACTAATACAAATTGATTTTTAGCATTCATTTAAAATCATCTCACCATCACCTGAACACTTTAAACTGTTAATTTGTATTTTTGATGTATTATTACATTTTAAATACTTTACGAGATGCCATCATTATCACGGTGTCACATTCTACATTCATCTTTGCCTTCATAACAAATCCCTCACCTGCAGAGAAAGGTTGTTTTGAATATGACCTGTAATCTCTCTATTAGCAAGAAAGAACAATTATAATATGAGTCGTGTCTGAGGACATTCTCATGCCCTGAATCCCAAGTGTCTGGATTAGAATTGCATTGAACCGGGGATTAGCGGAGAGTAACGCCTTACTTTGACAACAGAGGAGGGAGGCAGGGGCCAATGGATCAAGACCCTCTGAGTACACACACACACACACACACACACACACACACACACACACACACACACACACACACACACACACACACACACACACACACACACTCTCACACTCACACTCACACTCACACACACACACACACGCACGCGCTCTTTGACACAGATTCCACTGCTCATTTTAAAGCTACTTAACCCTGTCTGAGAGGTGACATTCCGTAAGAAGTTTTCCAAAGATGTTGAACTTGAACTTGTATCACCCGCAGTTAGATTTCCCCTTTGACCTCCAGGCCACCGTATGTTTAACTTGATGTGTGACTCCTAGAAATCAACCTGTTGCTGGGTTCGCAAAGAAATCTGGTCTCTTTCCAATTATTTTATTAAGATTTGAACACTCAGCGTGTGAAAACTCTTATTAAAGGCTGTGCTTGGGCAGGTGTGCAGAAATGAACAGTGGAAGGAACTACAATGTGCTACATTTTCTCTAAGGATTCGGGACTTGAAACGCTCATGAATGGGTTCATTTTACTCAATCTCAAATAATGGAAGTTGATAAGATCTTCATTAAAGCATGAGAAAAGATAGGAAGTAATAGCATTGCTTTCACATAATTAAAACTAACGGTTGTTTTCCTTATTAATGGATCTGCTATATTCAAATGACACTATTCATTTTGAAAAACAACATCAAAGTATATTTTCTGCAGATGGACTAATACCTGGGGCAGTTTGTGACTTTGTTGATTTTTCTCTTCCAGATTGGATCTCGCTCCACCCCCCGACTCCCTGAGACTGACACCCACCTCCAGCCCAGGCCCCGCCCACTGACCTCTAACCTCTTCCAAATCTTTGGATTTCACACCGAGCCACACCGTACCGACCTCAAATCGTTTTCCTCTGGAGACCCCCCCGGCCATCCTCCCCAAAAAGAAACACCCTGGGACGGGACCCTGTCATGTTTTACTGAGGGTCCCTTCCCACCTGGCGAATGACAAGTGTGCATTCGAGGGGGGGGCTTGCCTCAGTCTCTCATGATTGGCTGCTGGATGGAATTAAGGTGAATGGAACACGTGCCCAAGGAGCAGGACCCTAACCCATCAGAGGGAGAAGAGAAACGGTGAGTCTTTATGATTTCAAAGTGTTCCAGAGCAAATCCTCCACTTATTCAAGAATTGTTCCTGGCAATTGTTTTCTGTTGGTCTGAGTAAAAGTTGTACACCAAACCTCAAGGACCCTCCCCTCCTCTTAACTGTGTCTTTGCTGATGTAAACAAACCCCTGAAATGAAGCAGGCATGTGCTTCTGGCATTACGTTACATATGGAAGAGGTTTTCTGAGGAGGTTTTCTGAGGACACCCAAAAGGGAATCTTTATTTTTTTAAAGTCTCTCTTTTATCGCCTCGATCTTTCTCATGGCGCTCTCTGTTTTTACCACCGCGGATCATTTTATTTCCGGACAAACTTCAAGACGAAGCAGCCTCTTTTTCCCCGCCGCCAGTCTCTTCCTCTCGTCTGAATAGTTTTCTCAGAAAACTTGCCTTAAAGCTACATCTGACCCCGACGCTCCTCCCCCTGCTCCTTCATGCTGGCCGGCCCGAACACAAACAAACTGTTTAAGGCCTTTCTCATAAATGAAAACATAATATTAGTGGAATGGAGCTCCTCTCATAGTGCCGCTGGAGGAGGAAGGGGCCCTCTGTGTGGGAGAGGCCTGTGGGTAAAGCAATGTGTTATCAGTCAATATCAATCTGCTTTGGCTTTCAGAGAAGAGTTCAATATCAATGTGCTATGAAACCTTTAGGGGACATTCCATGAATTAGAAACTTAATCTCACTTTCTGGGAATAACTAAAGTCGTAATGCTGACGACTGCTCATGTCTGGGAGTCTAAATATTGCTCTGATGTGGAGTAGGTTCGTGGAAGCTTTAACAGAGTAAGTGGATCGGAGGAGCACATGAACACAACACAGGCCAAACCTTTCACATTTATCCTACAGTATAATATGTTTATAGATTTCTTCAAAATGTTGTTACAAAAAAAGAAAATGATATAGGACCCTGGCGCGTTCCGCATAGATTCATATGATTTCCAGTCTTTTAATAAAATTAACATGTACGTGATATATACATTTATACATGCATGCATAATAATAACAAACAATATAAAAAAAAATATTATTTCTCTTTTAATAAAATTTAAAAAAAACACACACCAGAGGGGGTTTAACCCTTTGTATGTCTCTATAATAAAACTAGAATGCATGTAATGATAGTGTAATAATAAAGCACCGTGCTGAGAGACGTGCTGACTGCTCACAGCTCCACTGAGTCTCCATGTGCTGCGGTACAGCTTGTGTTAAGAAAGTCAATCCGGCGGGGTCTGCATAGATTCCTCAGCTAACATGGACACCTGTCAGGAGATTAGCAGCTCTGCCACGGGGGGACTGAGGACAGTTGGTGCAGTCATGGATGTAGGAGTCTACACCGGCCTTTCTTTTTTTTATCGCATATGTTCGGGTGCTAATATTCAGTGAAGCTCTGCCTGTGTCCTGACACCTGTACCCAGGGCTGGCTGCTGCGCTTTGCACCTCGCGGGAAATTCAAAAGCACACAGATTTAAGCTCTAAAGGCCCAGACACACCAAGCTGACACCAAGGAACACGTCCCGACAGAACACGACTGTTGTGTCGCCTCACGTCTCCTGCGTCTTGGCCAACAGTCGCGCTGGAACACACCGCAAAGACTTCAGCCGACGGCCAAGTAGCACGTACGAACTGCGCATGCGTGAGTGGCAATAACTCTCCTTACCAGCAGGCGGCGGTAGTGTGTATTCGTCATTCAAAAGAGGCAACAACCGGAAGACAGACTGGGTCATACACCGAGAGAAGAAGAACAGACTGCGTGATATAAACAAACAACAAATAGCGTGTGCATTGGTCTTCGGTTTCTTCATTCCAGATCGCTATGATGAAAAATAAACTCTTGCGTCCAGCTGAGATGAAAATGAAAAAGAATAGCCGTCTGTGTGTGCCTTCTTAATCGTTTGTTTGGGTCCCTCACTTCCGTTTCGCTTCTCATGCACTGATTCGCTAGCTGAACAGCCAATCAGAGTGATTTATTTGACCGACAGCCCATGTCGAATCGGTAGGTTTTCGGCCAAAAAGGTGTCGGCACGGCCGAAAAGACACGACGGTGCGGGACACACCAATCTGAGTAGGGCGACACGACGCTCATCGACGGCCAGACATCTATCGACGGCCGAAATCGTCCCGGTGTGTCTGGGCCTTAAGGCGACAGACTGCAGTGGTGGGATTTTATAAAATATCTGCGCCCCCCTCTGCATGTTGTCACCCTATTGTTTTGACCTTCTCCAGGTTTTTGAAGTGATGCTGTTGTTACCAGGGTGTATCTTTTTTTGGATTGATATGTACTACTACTTTTTACATTAATGTGAATGTTTCTCTCTCTGAACGCAGTATAATAATGTTTTATTGTGTCTAATGGTGCAAACATAAACAATCTAAGAAAATAAGTATCAATAGTAGGTCAAAAATGTAAAGAAAACTATTTAGCGTTAAAAAAGAATAAAGACAAGTAATTACACCAAATGTAAATATACAAAGAACCTTAAAAGCTGAAAAACTAAAACACTGCATTTCAGTTTCTGAGCTGATGCTGTGTCTGAGTGAAACCCAGCTGTTTTGCTTGTACCTTGGCGTGTACAACACACACACACACACATTTAAAACTAATCCGCCAGCACTTATTTTAGGCAAATAGTTAGACCTCCGTTACTTGTTGTTCCGAGTTTGTTGATGTATAATTTATCTGCCTCTTTGTGCACTTTGGATAAAGTGTCAGCTTAATGAAGTGTAATGTAATGCTGTTTTGTTTATTTAGATTCATAAACCGCTGTATAAGTAAATATGGATCCACTTGAGTACTGTTATGTGTTGTTTAGTGACACTGCATCGATTCTCAGGAACAATATATAGCTTTAAATAATAGTTTTATGCAAAGATTACTAAAAGACAGTGTCTCAGATTGCAGAAAAAACTATTGCTAAGATATTTGATGTTACATGGACTGTGGTGAATGCTAATTAAGATTATATTGATATGATAACATAACAATTTTCTTTTCATTTGGTGATGTGTTTTTGCACTGTGACATTATTCCTAAATTAGATTTGTTTATATGGCTTGATCAAAGTATTGCACTATATCTCCAAATGTTAGAGTGTAATAACCCTTGTTTCTTGATCAGCCTGTCCTCCTCCAAAAAACGACCAAATAGGTTGATTGTTCAGCAGCTTATTACGACCTATAGTCACGTTTGAAAGTACCTAGTGGTCGTGTAAGAAACAACAATTTGCGGCAATTGCAAACACTCCGGAGGCTAACCCTCTCTGGAAAATCCTAAATTGTAGAATAGTTTGGCCATTAAAATGCTTTTTGATTAGATTTAGCGAGAAGTGTATATTGTACTTTTAGAATCCAGGTCCAGTGGATGTGTAGGATCTATAGTTTGATAGATATTACGAAGATGATTTGAGGTCTCGCCAGGAGAATGTGTATATACTACGTCTTTCCCCTATTCATTTCTATTGACGGCAGCGTCCATGTAAAGTTGGCATCAACCCTCAGCTTACTACTTTGTTCTACTCCACTAAAATTCAGAGGTTAACCTGGTATTTTTACTCCACTACATTTATTTTAGTTACTTTGCAGATTCTGATTAATGATGTGAAATATAAACAACCCTTAAATCAGACTTTAGTTACACCTGAGTCAAATTCAGGGAAGGTGATTGTCAAGTGCCAAAATAAACTATGCAATATATTAGACGTTAAGTACTTTGTCAGGCTTAATATTTATCTCTAGATACCCCCAAAGTTTTTTTCTTAATCAAAAGAAGACCTTAAAGTATTCTTTAATGTTTAAATAAAGCCTAATTAGTTTGTCTGTTTTGCACATCCTCCTATTAATATCTTTGGACGTCCTCCACTAGCTGTTTTATTGTAGAGATCACTACAGTATCTTCTTGATATTTTCTATTCTATATTTCTATCATTGACCTTCTACTTTCCCCCTATTTTGTATGTAGGCTACTCTTGATATTTAAATGTTTTCATCAAATGTAACATATTCAATACAAAAATTCAATAACGTGCTTTAACCACTAGGCGGTGCAGGTTAAAAAACTGTCAAGTTTACAGTGTTAACACAATAAATTATACTTTATGAAGATGTTACAAATAACACACAGCCTACAATGCCATAATAACTTTGTATTATTAGTGTAGGACACTTATGTATGTATAACATCTGAAGATGTGTAGTTTTATTCATGTTTTCACATAATTTTACAGGATATTGCTATATTATTTCACATATTGTAGTTCTACACATTACTATCTTAGGTATATTCGTCATTTAATGGTAAGCTATTGAAATTGTGATTCCATAGATGTGTCTCCCATCACCCAAAACCCCTGACTATTCTCTCAACTCAGTATTTACATTCTTTAATTCAAAGAAAATCAGTAATATCTTTAAAAACCCTTTCTATCAGCTGTGCACCGTTATGGTGTAAATATAACCTATCTTCCAATTGGATCAAATATAAAAGTCAGCCGAATTAGTATTGATACTACAAGGAGACGTATTTGTGCGAAGAGAAATTGAAGATGTTGTTTAATTGCTGATATATTTATGATCCACGTCACGTATTCAGTTTCGGCGGCATTTCTGCAGTTTGTCCAAAGGTCTTCTAATCAAGGCTCTATAAATAGAGAACTACGGCAGATGTGTAATATTTAATGCAGCCGAACCGTGTATTACAATGCCGTTATGTGATGACTTTCAAAGAAAAAAGCAAGCACACACGGAATAAAGTATTATTTTTTTTATTTTTTTATTTTATCGGATTTCACATCGCATAAACACCATATCCCAACGTGCATTGCGGCTAAAACATCCAATCACCGAGCTTCAACGATAGCTGAGGATAATGGGTAGTTCGATGTTTTAGCCTATCAAAACCTCTGAAAAAAGAAATGTGTCTCTCAGAATCGAAAGGGAAAAACCTATGGGAAAAACACAAAAGCAGTGTACACA